ATCCATCTGACACTTCAAACAACATGACGAACGAAATTCGTGAAAAACTCGGAGAATAATGCATTTTCGAAAAAAAGTTTCCTGCAAAAAGTTTGTATTTTTTTCCGTAGAATACGATCCTGCAATAAAAAATAGGGGTTTTCATTTGAAAAATCGAAGTTGACCCTCGTTTGACCTTGAAAATCGACTTCAAGGTCATTTTCAAGGTCACCATCGTATGTCCCCCTCCGAACCCTATAACTTTTGTCTAAAACATTTTTCCTCATTCTGCTCGGGTTTCGAGATATTTGGGGTGGGACATTAAAATGGGACACCCTGTATAATTATATTTTTGTGTGTTTTATTTATTATAATTTAGTTTTGTTTGTTCTGTGTAATTTACTTAATAAATAATGTTAGGCGCCAATTTATAGTATTATAAAGATTTATTTAACACATGAAATATATTTAAAATATTTAAATTTTGAATTTTCCTATAGTATTCTTAAAAAATATCACAATAAATCATGTTCTATACTTACCAAACTAGCTCTTTTTATGTCACTTAATTTGATTTTGAATCTTTAAATGTAAATTTATTCCTTATATATTTTTTTAAAAAATTATTCTCAAATTTTAATTTAACTATATTTAAAATTTTTAAAAAAAAAAACTAGACTACTAGTGTACTTTCTGCAAATTATATAACAAAATTTTTATAGAGCATTTTGAGATCTCAGTAGTCGGTTCTAAAGCTTTTTGAAATTAATTATGAAGAAAATGTTTAATATGTAATTAATTTTGTTTCTTTGCTTTTGTTAAATAGTAATAAAATAGTATTGGTACAATAGAGTTTGAAATTTGTATATTATAAATAACAGGTTATAAATTTATAAAATTCTTCCTAATTCCCTATCTAACCTGAGCTAAATTATTGCTAATTACTTATTCTATAAACTTATAGTTTCTTGTTACCTATGCTACACTTTTGTTGACCTTTTGTCTATGTTTTCCTCACTAGTAATGTCCTCCCTGTAATCTCTCTTCTGTCTCTTCTCCTTCCTTTCTTTCACTCGAACTCTCCTCTATTTTGTCTTATCCTCCTTCTCTTTCCTACTACACTCCGTTGACTGCCACTGTCTGAATCACCTCCCTGGCTCGTACTGCTCCTTTCCTTTTGTAAATGTCTACGACAATTCAAAATTATGTTTTACTAACCTGACAGTATTATGATTATATTGCGTTATCTGTCAGTTTAGACTTAAACACCCTAATTTCCTTTCTGCCAAATAACTTCTTCTTTCCTATTTCCTGAATCTCACTGTTCTCTTCTTTCTTTATTGGTTTTTAAATGTCTCACAATAACTTGTGCTTGATTACTTTTTTTTAAAACTCTTCTTCTCCTCATCAACACTAGTTTTTTTCTTGGTAGTTCATATGATTTTCTTTTATTCTTCTGTATTTTATCACACTTCTTATTTTAAACTTCTTTTAATTGCTACAATTTGTATCTCTTCTAATTCCTCTTTTTACTTCTTGATTCTCTTGACTATTTATTTCTGTCTCCTTGATCACCACATTTTTTACCCATTTCTTTCACCGCACTCTTATATCTAATTACAATGTTTATTAATATATCGTTTTCAATCTCAACCAATCAGATAATTTTATAATTTGTACATTTTTAATTTACCATTTTTAATACCCTTTTATTATTTTTTTAACTACATTACATTATTTTGTGGGCACTTTTGATTCCTTTATACTGAGATTTCATTCTAATTTTCATATCGTTATACACTGTCATTTTTCATCCAGCTATCACCCAAATTATCTTTACTATTTTGTCACCATATATCTAATATGTCATTACTTGTTGTATTTCAACTTAACTTCTATTAGATTTTATAATTAAAACTCTTACTTCAATTTCTACCTGTTACAGTATATTTGTTCGTTTCATTACCTATCACAAAATTTGTTTTTTACTACTGCTTGTTACTAATATTTTTAGTCAATTTGTACTATTTTATTAATTTGAATAATACTTACCCCACATCATTGTTAGAGCTTAAATACGCTTAAATAGGATAATACATGAAAAAAATTTATTTTTCCAATTTCATTTTATAATTAAGAAGAACAGCAAATTTTCTATATATGTCGCCATATTTAATATTGTAAAATAAATTTATTTAATTAGAAAAACTATTTCCGAAAAATACGAATTTCGATTACGGCAATACTTTAGAAGCCCTTGACAAATACGCATCATATAAAAAAAATTTGTGTTCACTTTTATACTTACTAGAAGTACAATTAAGTAAGTATGAAAAAATTTCAGAACGTCGCTTTTTTTTTCGCTGTCCGCTTCACGTGAAATGCGCATAAGATCCACTTCTTATTTGTGGAAGGGCGAAATGGGCGTTGACTATTAGACGCCTTCATTATAGCCATCCTTGTCTATCACATGGATTTCTANTCTTTCGGAAATAAAAAACAAAAAAAAATTCTTCGTAATCTTTATCTTTGCATAAAGAACTCATTTTTCAGTTTTTCGCTCTACAGCTACAGAGTAAAATAGTAAAAATGGTGAATTCTCAAAATTTGTATCAAAATGGAAATTATCGTACAATCTACGTCTGCAATCGTACATCGTACGTAGGCACAAAATTATTGTACATGTACGATAATTATCGTACCGATTGAAAGGTTGGTGTAGTTGGGTCAAATTTAGATGTTTTTTGTTTATATATGTTCTATGTTGGTACCCACTGTGCAAAGAACAGAAAAAGGAGGTTCTGTGACGTTCAATAAAAGAAAATTGTTGGATGTTTTTCTGAAAACATTATTTTTCCATCATTAGCTCTTTTATATAAAACGTTAGTCTGAGAGTAATCTATGCTACGTTTTTAAAAACATCACAAATATGAATATTTGCCGATGTTTGTTCTGGCGTCAATGTGACCTATTATACACACAGATGTGATAATAAAGTCAAGAGCTTTCTATTATAAAAATCATACATAATTATTTTTCATCAGACCCTTCAATTAATTACATGTTCTACACAGTTGGAAATATCTCTGATTAAAATTAATTTATACGTTTAACACATAACTTGTCAATTACCAGACTCTCACTTCTTATGCTCGGTTGTTAGCAAAGCATACCGTTACATTTGCATTTATGAAGACTCTTTATGCTTCAACATGTGACGTGTGATACTGCTCCTGTATTTAGTTTCGTAATCGCAGTCTTTACACCTGTACATTTGAACCTGCAAGGGCTCATTATGCTTCAGTTGGTGCTGTTTGATGTAACCCTTGTATTTAGTTTCGTAATTGCAGTCTTTACACTTGTACATTTGAACCTGCGAAGGATCTCTATGTTGCAGTTGGTGATGTGTGATATTCCTCTTTAACTTAGTTTCATAATTGCAATTGTTACACCTGTACATTTGAACCTGTGAAGGATCTTTATGTATCAGTTGGTGCTGTTTGATGTAACTCTTGTATTTAGTTTCGTAATCGCAGTCNTAATTTCATAATAATAATAATAATAATATTTATTTATATATCAAGTATAATAAAGAAATAACGGGTAAGAATACAATTAAATATAAGACAATTTCTGTACACAATTATAAACAAACAGTGTTTATCACAAATCTTTAACCAAAAAGCTATTGCTTGTACGTGAATAACAAGACACCATTCAACTACTTAAGAAAAACATCACAACTAAATATAATAACATATATAGCACATTTTATAAGGATATATGGATCCATTATCGCAAGGTAGCCATAACTATTACCCGTTCTGATTAATAAACTCATGAAAAAAAATTCTTCCAGTGTTCAAAATCAAAATCCAAATTTTATTCCAAACAAAATTGTTTTTCCTTTCATATTAATCGGTAATAAATAATCAACAAAGACCAAGTTCTATAATTGCATGAAAATATTATATATTTTGTGGCTGTGATAAAACAGCTGATGATGAAGATCGCTAGAGATAGAAAACATACTAGTACGTTTAACGGGGTGTTAGTAATAAAATTATACCATAGATCTGATATAGTATAAGATACATAAATTATACGAATACCTATAGAAAAAACAATTGAAGGCTGGGTAAGTCAGAAAGCTGAATAGAACTAGAATTGTATTTTACTTATATTTTTGTAGAAAGAATACATTAGAAAACAATCGGTTTTATTTCGATTTTACAATAGCGTATATGCAACCGAACCTAGGGTTGTACAGTACAGTGCTATAACTTTATAGCCACAAAAAACATCACAACATACTTTTCGTGACATTTTAGGCAAATCTGATAATACTTTTTGCTATATTATTAACGACGGTTACTAAAAAAAATTGTAAAAGTTGAAGGTTATCGCTTGTAGCCGCAGTACCATGTTACAGAAAAACACGGCTGAAATCTTATCTATCGAATTAATTTTCTGCTATAGCGATAATAACGCATATACAGAATGAAAAGTTTAACTGAAGCAAATTCTGTAACTTAATTTTCCTTTTACTACAATATACAATTAATACAGTTAATAGTATTACAAATGTTATTTCGATACTATGATATTACTTAAATTAACTTATTTAAATTAAAGCCAATATTAAACTATCCCGCAACATTATTACATTTCACAGAAATTACAATATAAAAGAAGATAAAAGAAAGAAATGCACCTGAGTTAACTTGTTTTGTGCAAGTTTAACATCAAAAGGTACATAGATTTACCAAATATGTTAGTGTTACCAAGCCATGTTCCATATTTATTAAGTACTCGATCAAAATAATAATAGGAAATAGTTGTTACTTATGTAGCTTTTACAAAGAGAAAACTTTTTTAAAACTCAACTCAACTTCTTAATTCTAAAGACAACATATTATAAAGTTTTGGAGCTAGATGCATTGCAAATCTTAAACTTATGATTTTATAGCAAAATGGCGTTTGTATCACTTCATTTGTCATGCTGCGTGTTACCACAGTATTTGATACAAATTGTTTCTCTTTTTTGTCACATAGTCCGTCTGTAATATAGTAATCTTGTGGTACAATTTATTTTTCTTTAGAATAATTTTTAACATATCATTTTGCACAAAAGATAGTTGTTACATACAAGTATACCATAACTAAAACGCTAAAAATATTTTTTTGGTTAAAATATTTCGTAACTGATAAAATCCATAAATAAGTTTTCCAATATTAACTATTAAATTATTTATATATTGTTCCCATTTAATATTTTTGTCAATAGTGAGACCCAATTACTTTATAAAAACTTATTTTATTTTCTTATTAATACGGTGAATATTAAATCATATCAAATTTTATTTTACCAATGTTTAATGATAACTGATGGCCATCTGCCCAAATTTTGACAGCAGTTATACCCTGCCTCATTTGATCTCGATCGCTCTCCCAAGATTTGCCACTAAAGATAACTACTGTATCGTCAGCGTATGACATTATTTTATCATCAATATTTAAGGTTAATAAAAAAATTGATATAAAGTATAAAAAGTATGGGACCGGGGACTGTTCCTTGTGGTACACCCATTTCCACTTCTTGAGGATCGCTTAAACACTCATTGATTTTAACAAATTGCATTCGTCCAGTCCAACAACTAGTAAAATGCTCAAGCACAATTCTTCTAATTCCATAATTTTGCAATACATTAAGAAGACTATCATGAGGCACTGTATAAAATGCCTTAGCTAAATCTAAAAAAACTGCAGCACATTTTTTGCTAGTATCCAGATCGTTTCGTTTTCTCATATAGTTTCAAGTTTTTTTTTTTATTCCAAACCACATCTAACTTGGTTAACTTTAGATTTCTTTTGTTAGAAACCAGAGTTAGCACTTGACAGTTCTCACGATTTTCCTCAATAATCATTGATACTATTTTACTTTTTTATTTATCCAAATTTAACAAGTATTAATTGAAATAAAATTATTTTATCACGTCTTTTCTTAGAATTAATTTACCCATTAAATAAGATATTTTACAGTAAATTGCAAGAAAACTCTACTCCTTTTAATTATGTAATTTTACTGTATTAGTGTGTAAAATTGCAAGTTTGCTAGAATATTTCATATCAATATTGATTGACTGTAATCGACTGATAAATACAAAACGGTATTTAAAAGAAATTTCCCAGTGATTCGATACTTTGTAATTTTGTTACAAAGTACAGAGAAAGCATAGCAAATTTGAACGTCGCTAAGAAAATTTTTAAGTCTTTACAAATCCTGCAGCACAAAGATATTATTATGTTGCAGTTGATGCGGTTGGATAGCACTCTTGTATTTTGTTTTGTAATCACAGTTGTTACACTTGTACATTTGAACCTGTGAAGGGTCCTTATGCTTCAATGTGTGCACTTTGATATAACTCTTGTATTTAGTTTCGTAATTGCAGGTGTTACACTTGTACATTTGAACCTGCGATGGATCTTTATGTTTCAGTTGGTGCTTTTTGATATTACCTTTGTATTTAGTTTCGAAATCACAGTCTTTACACCTGTACATTTGAACCTGTGAAGGGTCTTTATGTTTCAGTTGGTGGTCTTTGATGGCACACCTGTTTTTAGTTTCGTAATTACAGTCGTTACACGTGTACAGTTGAACCTGCGAAGGCTCTTTATGTTTCAGTTGGTGATTTTTCATGTATCCCTTGTATTTAGTTTCGTAATCGCAGTCTTTACACCTGTACATTTGAACCTGTGAAGGATCTTTATGCTTCAGTTGGTGCTGTTTGATGTAACTCTTGTATTTAGTTTCGTAATCGCAGTCTCTACACCTGTACATTTGAACCTGTGAAGGATCTTTATGCTTCAGTTGGTGCTGTTTGATGTAACTCTTGTATTTAGTTTCGTAATCGCAATCTTTACACTTGTACATGTAAACCTGTGAAGGATCTTTATGTTTCAGTTGGTGACTTTTGATATTACCCTTTAATTTAGTTTTGTAATTGCAGGCATTACATTTGTACATTTGAATCTGCGATGGATCTTTATGTTTCAGTCGATGCTGTTTTATATTGCTCCTTAATTCAGTTTCGTAATTGCAGTCGTTACACCTGTACATTTGAACCTGCGAAGGATCTTTATGTTTCAGTTTGTGATTTTTGATATTTCGCTTTAATTTAGTTTCATAATTGCAGGCGTTACACTTGTACATTTGAACTTGTGATGGATCTTTATGTTTCAGTTTGTGATTTTTGATATTACCTTTGTATTTAGTTTCGAAATCGCAGTCTTTACACCTGTACATTGGAACCTGTGAAGGGTCTTTATGTTTCAGTTGGTGGTCTTTGATAGCATACTTGTTTTTAGTTTCGTAATTACAGTCGTTACACTTGTACATTTGAACCTGCGATGGATCTTTATGTTTCAGTTTGTGATTTTTGATATTACCTTGGTATTTAGTTTCGAAATCGCAGTCTTTACACCTGTACATTTGAATCTGTGAAGGGTCTTTATGTTTCAGTTGGTGGTCTTTGATAGCAGTCTTGTATTTACTTTCATAATCACAGTCATTACACCTGTACATTTCAACCTGTGAAGGATCTTTATGCTTCAATTGGTGTTGCTTAATATGGTTGAAGTATTTAGTTTCGTAATTGCAGTCGTTACACCTGTACATTTGAACCTGTGAGGGCTCTTTATGCTTCAGTTGGTGCCGTTCGATATCTTTCTTGTATTTAGTTTGATACGTGCAGTTGTTACACTTGTACATTTGAACCTGTGAAGGATCTTTATGCTTCAGTTGGTGCCGTTTGAAGTGACTCTTGTATTTAGTTTCATGATCGCAGTCTTTACACTTGTATATTTGAATCTGTAAAGGATCTTTATGTCTCAACAGGTGCCTCTGAAGTAATTTCTCATTTTCAGTTTTGTACTCACAGGACTCACATTTATACGCTTCCAAATCATTCTCGTGTCTCGCAGAGTGTTCCAAAAAACAGATCTCACTTTGAGTTTCGTAAATATATTTATCACATTTGTACAATACTTTGTCCACCTGCTTTGTTTCCACTTCTGATGCATCCTCTTCTTCTTTTTTGTCGTTGTTCTCGTCTGGTGGTACATTGTTGGTGTTCTGTGGTGTGTTGTTGCTGAAATTGTTGCTACTGGGTTTTTTTTTTGATAGTGTTTTTTTTTTTTTAGGTTATTGGTGGTGCCTGCTGCCATATTTTTTGTTTTTTTTCAGAATTATTCTTCTAATGCAGCGTCTTGTTTTTCTTCGTTGTTGATGTGTTGTTATTATTTATTCTTTTTTTGTATTATGGTGCCGCAACTCTTTGGTTGTTGTCATTCCTATCGCCGTGACTCTTAGATTTGACTGAATTATGTGTTATTAGAAAGGAAAGTAACCTCCAAAGGTTTTCCCAAACAAACTTTCAATAATATTTTTATGAACTTTGCAAAGTATTATTTCGTTTTTATTATAGGTAGTGAAATAATTTTCATTTTCATAATTTTCAAGTTCGTTTTTGGGCATTTTATTAATAAGAAATTCAGATCAATCAGTTGTGATATTTTGGCAATGTGAGTCTGTAGCTGGCACTGATCAGGTACATTTGCTACGACATAACAACGGGCAAAACCATTGCACTTTTTAAACCTATTAATACCGTAGGATTTTGAATTGTTCTTTCCCGTCACCCCTTACGACAGAAGGTAGAAAGGCACACACAAAATTCTAATATTAAGTAATATCACAGTAAGAACTCGTCAATTTCAGCAAAAAGTAAAATCTAACGATTATCCTGCTTCTCTTCACAATATTAACAATACTTAAATCAACAATAGTACATAATTGTAATAACATAATTTTAATTTTAATGACGAATCGATTCAGACTTTAATAATGAATTTAATTATCAAAAAAGGCATTAAAGACTATGTATGTCATACAATAAATCCATAAACGAGATGGCAGAAACACATAAATAAATTTATTAAATCTTAATTAAATAATAACAGTCAGTATATTTTATTTTGTCAACGTTTTTTAGTTATTGTTTTTTACCTTAGCGCAAATTTTAATAAACTAGTTACAGAAATGAAAGAATAAAAAAAAACCTTAAATTTTTAGACGATTTTCAAAAGGCAGTAACAGGGCGAAAAATAGTCGTAAAGCTATTGCTACAAAAACAAATTGAAGCTTGAAGTTTATATTTTTATCATTGACCACCTTTAAGAAATCATAGGAAATCCAGCGGGAAATTTATTTTTATAATTTTTACTTCTCTCTCAAAAGATCCATTACTCAGTATTTTTTTTTATTTTTTGGTAATGTCAAGTCTTTGATTTGAGCTATTTGAGCTACATTTATACATATGAAGATTTGTCACTGAGTTAACCTCATTCGAAGCGAATATTATTTTTTTGGCTTTGATAATTGCTTGGGAACTAGTGATCGTACAGAAAATCTAAGCAGAGTTTTGAAAAGGAAAGGACGATACCAAGAGTGAAAGGAATTACTTCATATTGAGGAATGCCGATCAACAGTACGGTCGCATCGTACTCGTTTTTTTTTTAGTCAATCGATGAAGTAGACACACTTTTCACCAGATATTAGTATTTAGATCCACATTAAATTCAAAATTAGGCTCATATATTGAAACATAGCGAAAGATAATAGTTTATCGGAGATTAGTGCCTGACTAAATTAATTAAGTTCGTTACAATGAATTATTTTAATTCAATGAGTGATTTTTGAAATATATTCCTACCGAGGGGGTAACCACTCTAACAAAAAATGTACACGTATTGCGGAAATCCTATGATTTCCTGGGATTTCCTCAAAATCAGTACGATTGCCAGTGATTGCTTCGAAATCAGTATAACTACCAAGGATTTCCGGAATTAAAATAATTAAGTAAATAGATACCTAAGTTGAGAGTCTTATTGAAAAGACCCCCGTAAATTTTAGATGAAAACTACCCTTTAAAATTTCTTTCATGAATTTAGAAACCTGTTTAAATATGGAATATATAAATTTAGTTACGAAAATAGCAGGTTCCATGCAATTAAATTAAAATAATGAGTACGACAAAGTTAAAAACTTTAGATATAGATTTCCCTAATCTTTTTTCGTGCTGCTTTTAGGCATCTATCATTTGGTATATCCTGAGATCTTAAGCTGTTGCGCCTTTTTTATTTAATAAAACTTCTAAAACGCTATATCAAGTGTTTCATTTTTCCGGTTACATTATATTTTCAGTATACGAAAACTTTCTTATTTCTAGTGGAGCTGCCTATATTTTTTTGCTTAAAATTATGTAGAATTTATTTTTTCTCTGATATAGATTCTGTAGGTGTTTAAAGTTTTTTGAAATTTTTTGCGATTTTTCCAAATTTCTTTAGTAAATTTAACCCCTACGAAGTCTATATAAGGGAAAAAGGAATTTAATTTTGCATAACTTGAAGCAAAAAGTACAGCGTGTTGGGATTAATAAAATCTAACCAAAAAATTGAGCTCTCGGTGTAGCATTTTAGAAGTTGTATTAAATACAAATGATGCAGCAGCTCAAGATCTCATGACATACCACAAATTACATGGTTAACGGCAACACAAAAAAAAGATATATATATTCTTACAAACCTCGCCAATTGTCAATTTTAAAAAAGAAAGTAAAACATGGCTGGGGTTGCATAGCTCAGAATTTCACGTCCTTTCCAAAAACGCAATAATACATATAATGGAGTATTCAATTTGAAATAAGGGAATTGACGTCCATTTTTATAGAAGTTGTTTCTGAAATGATCTAACAGACCACACACTTTGCGTCTCGCTTGAATTTCAAAAAACTGAGACAAGGTGTTCATATAAGTAACACTTTTCTCATTAATATTGTGTTATCAAGATACAGTATGTTGGGTGTTATTTCGAAGAGTTTTTATTATTTTTAAATCGGCTAAAAGTAAAGATGTCAAAACTGTAGACAAACAAATATCAACTGCTTCTTCAGAAAAACGTGAATATTATCTAATTCCCAATAGGCATGGAAACAGGTAGTTTGGGGTATAATTGAAGAGGAATTCACCTAGTTTTTTTTAAGTTCAAGCAGGACACTCTTCACAGGATAATACAATAAGTGGAATAGAATTTTCAAAAATTTTACGGAAACATCTCTTTGCAATACTGTGTTTTTTATACCTAGTTAAGAATCAGTAAATTTTAAAATATGTCTGGAATGTAAGAGATAATTGCGGAGTAGATTGTGAGATTGCGGACATGATTGCGGGCGATTTCTGCAATTTCCCGTTAAAGCTGCACGATTTCGGGCGATTTCCACGAGATTGCGGTGATTGCGATGGATTGCGAGTGATTTCCAGTAAATATGTACACGTATTGCGGAGAATGGTTACCCCCTCGATTTCTACTCTTATTTTTTTTTTTGTGTAGGCTTAGTTAACAATTCAAATAATATAAGCGTTTATTTAACATTTTTAACAATTTTTTTGTTTTGCAATTATATTCTATATTCTTATCTCTTCATTATTTATGGCCCTGATGAAGATTTTAAATAATACCTTTAAAATAGCGTAGAAATTGATTTTCTGTGAGAATGATTTAATATGCGTGTACAAATCAAGCCAAACTGGCATTCTTCTTGCAATCTGCCTACATAAGCAGTAATTATTTCGAAACTAAGTGACTTTCGTTCCAAGAAAATTGCGATTTCTGCCAGAAGTTAAAAAATAGCATAGCAATAGTATAGCGTTCGTTGTTGTTCTGATTTAAAGTCATACCGATTGTTTTATAATAATTTTTGATATTTTTTTCAAATAATTTGTTAAATCTAACCCTTGACGATTGTTTAAAAATTTGTACGATACCGTTTATAACTGACAAACCCATAATTTGTTAGTTTATCATCAGATGGTACATATTTAACCATATAAGGGTACGAACATAGTGGCGCGACGAGGTTTCAGTGTGAGATAGAGTCTAGAGGCAAAACTTGCCGCTATGTGATTTAAATACATTGAATAGCATCGGGCAGTCCGTAGTGGCGCGATGAGTCAAGCGTCTTTATGCGATTTTTAATAAATTTCATTGTATTCGTACAATTAATATCTTTTATTTAAAAAAGATATACCTGCTATGTACTTGGAACCAATGTCATCCTAATCATTGCAATGAGTGTATTCTAGATAAGTTATGAGATTAGGCAACTTTTGAATTTCAATGAATAGGAATAAAATTTCATTTGAATTTAAAAGAAATATTTGCTCTTCATACTTTTTTATTTGTGAGCGGATGTCAATATGTGGAGTTTAGTGAAATAGGGCGATGCAGGTGTTAAATGAACATACTTCGAGGAGTGACACGTATTTACAAAATAAAAAATAATTTGTTGCGTACGCATCTTGTGCATACAGAAATATCAATTTTATTCGTTCCAAACCGAGAAAGAAATCCAAATAAAATTTGATGTATTACAGAATTACTAACCAGTGGAGGAGAGACATGGTCGTCTACATAAAACGATAAAAAAAGTACTGTGTCCTGTACAAAATTCAAATTGATTCCACTTTTGCACGTAGCATGTAATTTTCAAAAAATAAATTTTCTTAGCGCCTTCTCAATTTTGCGTCAAATGTTTATTTTCTTATATTTGTTTGTGATTTTGCAAGGAACCAAACAAAATGTTAACAAATAATCAGGATGATATACTTCCAAATCGAATCTGTTAATGTATTTTATGTGTACATTGTATTCCAATTTGAAACTCGTATTTTAGACTACATTCACCGATTCAATTTTTTTTTAATATGTAGAACTTGAAGGGAATCTACCTTTTGATAAACTGCAAAAAATGACGAAATAATTGAAATTGATTGTTTCATCGACTTCTACTCATCCCAAATCTAAAATTAAGAAATATAAGAGCGTTTGTCACAATTTCTAATAAATTATAATTTTTTTAACACCCCCTATGCCTACATAATTATTACTACTGCACCTTATGCTATTTATTTTTATAATAAATTATCCCATGTTTGATGCGATTAAGGATAAATAAGGGATCAAAATTGCAGAACGGAACGACGACAGCTTTTCTGCATTAACGATTGTTATTATTTATGTAAAAGCAAACACATTTCAACTAGGTTGCAATAAAGGACATTAAAAAATTATAATTTATTAGAAATGGCAATTTCCATAACAAACGCCCTGTATGTGCCATCGAAGCGATATTTTCTACTTAGCATTTAAGATTCATAGAAATCGATTGATCAATGTTTTCTTTAAAAAATGTATAATCGTTCTTCGGGGCTAATAAGCATTTTATTGGCCCAATATTTGTTTAAATGAGGACTAATAATATGATTTGTATAATTATATGTCGTTAAGTCCATTGTCATATACTCAAAAAAGCGGTCTGGATATTTTTTTAATTCATCGAAGATCACGATGGTATTCTCCTAATATGTTTATTTTTTTTATTAAGATCGTACACACTACACCGTCTACTTAGTAATACTTTTGCCGCACAAGTGTCCAAAATAATATCATCCTCACTGTCTGAATACATTTTTGTGAATAAGCGTGATTTCCAAACGTAAACAATCTGATGCGTTGACCCCAAATTCCAGAAGTCGCCCCACGTCTTTTGCCTCGTAGTAAGACTCTATCTGACACTGAAGCCTCCTCGTGTCACTATGTTCGTACCCTAAGTCACGAAGTATCAGAACTACAGGCTGCCATTTTTTAAATTTATATTAAAATAGTCTTCTCTTACCTCCTTTCCTCATTTTCCGATTTTATGTCGATACTTTCAGCTTTGATGGACATTTCCATCTCGTTAATATCGAATTCCTCATCCAGGTTTTCAGTTTTAACGAATAAATCAAGAGGAGACGTATCTATTTGGCTTCCTGTGGCTGAAATATCAAAAATACTTTTAATTTTTTCTTCTAGCTCTAAGCAATCTTTAAGGAAACTGTTGTGAGTACGCAGTGAATCGAAGCATGGCTTACAAATCACGGGATCTTTGACGATATTCATATTCTACAAAGTAGTTTTGTTAAATTACAAAATATGTAAATATTTAATATTGTTTATACCATTTCAGGAGCCAATTTCTCAATAGCTTCAAGTTCCCCATCACCTATGCACCTATACTCACTTTCTACTAGGTGTATACACAATCGACATATTTTCTGACTGCAAACTAATTCACTTTTCTTTTCCTGCACGTACACTTGTCTTAAATCGAGCTGTATCATTTTTTCGCTGTCCACATAAGGAATAATTGTGTTATCCGTATTCAAACACATTGACTTAAATTCTGATGCCGAATTTAACTTTCTTCTGCAGACGTTACATATAACCTCTTTGCTCTCGCTATGAAATTTCTGAAAAATTTGCAACTTTAAACAGAGAGAAGTGTAGCAGAAAATAACAGTTAAATCCTAAAAGTTGCTTTATACTTGAGATTGTTAAGACGTAATGTAATCATATTTCAGTGACTTACCAATTTCAGCAAAAGAACATCTAAAGTGTCTCTTATAATGTTGTCTACCACTTCATAGCTTTCATCGGTTATATTTTTAAGGCAAAGCCGACACGAAGTTTCATTACAATCAGTCATTGCTCTGGAACAATTTTCTTTTACATATAAATAGAACAGAAATACAAAAAATAAAAATATAAAGCCTTCACTTCTAACCTTCTTGGCTTACGGCAGTAATGTCAATAGCAGCATAGTCACAGAGTCAAAGGACAGAAAAATTATATAATTCTGTGGCATTGTTGACGTTTGTGGTTGGTTAGGAATAGAATAGAGATGGACGAAATAACATCGCCATTATTCCATGGCTAGAAATTAGCCTCATGATTTGGGATCGAGGGGGATTATCCCTCTTTATCCTGCCTCATCTCGTGTAGGCCTGGACAGCCTTCGTAGGTGGGCCCCATCCGTCGTCTACCCCGACCGCAAATGCGGCCGGTGTAGGCGCTTTGTGGGACCTCCTTTTGTCCTGGCTGGGCCCCGCCGGCTAGGGCCCTTTCTTCTGGCGCTCTTCTTGCTTCGCCGGCTCGTCTGTGTAAACCCCGGGGGTAGTGTCATGTTTATGTGTGGTATGGTTGGGTAGGGTAGTGCGGCTATGCAGCCTGGGATGCGCTTTGCTAAGGTGGCCCTTAGG